GGTCAGTAGGTTCTTTTTTTTTTTTTTTTTTTTTTAAAACAGGGCCTTATGGACCTGGCTCCGTCTATTCTGGGGAGCGACAGTCCGGTTCCTATTCCACCGGCAAGTCAGAATACACATTACATTATTGCAGGAACGCACGCTTCCTTCCGTTTGGCCGAAGGACCCCTGAACAGCATTGATTGCTCCACCATTGGCGGAAGATTGACTGTCAGCTTGCCTTGACTCGCTCTTTTCTTGGGTCAGTAGGTCTACGTTCAGGATCTCCCTCCATTTTTCTTTGAGTCTGGGATCCGGGTCTGTGGTTTGTAATCCTAAGTCATAACCGAATTTTACATCGTATTCAAATATCGTTCTTGTTCTCGTTCTCCCGGATTTCCCCTGTTTCCAGATCCACTCTTTCGGGTCGAATTTGAGGTCTGAGATGCAGAGATCAGGTTGGAAGATTATCCAGGGTTTGGCTTTTGTGACCCGCACTTTCCTCAGTCAGATGGATTCTAGCATGTCGCACTGGGGTTCTTTGTTCATAATTTCCAGCTCTTGTAGGTTGTGATTAGTGATCGCGTAGGAGAAGAATTTGGAGAGGTAGCTGAGTGCCTTGGTTCGAGAAACAAATCAGAAAGCTCTGCGAGGCTGGGTTTGGGAAATGAGTATGACCCAGTCCCTGGATTTCCACGAGAAGTCCTTCCTTAAGAGGGAGAGCCACTGTGTTGGGATGCTCTTCTGAATCTGTGTTAGATTTTCCGTGAGGGCAGGGCAGCCTTTTAATTCATATCGGAGCTCCTGTTCGGTTAACCAATGTCTCCGATTTTCTGCCCAGATGTGTTTCACCGGCCACACCCCTTTTTCCACCCAGGATAGCCATCTCCTGTCTTTTGTGCGTAATGTCCAGGGTGCGCCACTCAGGTCTACGATCCGAGAATTGCAGAACAGAGGTTGAGTCAGGACCTCTTCTCTGTCACCTGGTGCACCGTGTTTACTCGGCATCATTCTTCGCCAGGCTTCGAGGGTTGGCTTCCAGTATGGATTTGCTGTTGGGCTAGGGCTTGTAATACGATCTGTTGGGTCTCTTCTGCTCTGTCTGCCTGACTTGACTGGGGTCTCTTCTGCTCTGTCTGCCTGACTTGACTGGGGTCTCTTCTGCTCTGTCTGCCTGATTTGATTGTCCAATCCTTCGCCATTATCCAGAAGAGACATCTCATGTTCGGCGGGGAGTTGATAGGTGCTAGATTTCTGATGCTGTCCAGAGCCATTTGGGTCCCTGGAATGAATTGTCTTATCAGGATCTTGATAATCCATTTCATCTGCAGTGCTATGGATTCCTGTTTGGGATCAATAAGCCCCAGCCCCCCATCCTGTGATTTCCTGATGATGTGGTTCCAGGCACCTTGTTGATACACGTGGTCCTGTTGGGGTCTCCGGTCCATAAGTAGCATCTGGCCCTGTTTTTTAGCGTTTTGAGGTCATCGTCGGGCGGGGGGAACCAGATGGATGCCATGTACCACAGTGAGTACTACATAAATTCCAAAAAACGAAAAGCATATAAAATTATAAATTGATGCAGTTCACAACAGAGACATACTCGTTATTGTCACACTCGCAGCCTGCTTGTAGAACATAGTTCCAACAAAAACACACTCATCAGGGGCATGCTCACGGCAGGCCTTTAGACCAGCAAAACAACAGAAGAAACACAAGTATAGCGATACAAGTTAGGGTATTTTGTGCCTACTTCTCCCTCAGTTGTTTGTTTACAGGATTATTAGTGTGATGCGTTGATTGAGTCGGTGTGCATTAGCATAGGAGATTGAGGTTATCCTCTGAGGATTGAAGAAAAAACAAAAAAAGTACAAGCCCACAAGGTCATCACCAAAAGGTAAGCACCAGCACGACTTACCAGTTGTTTCAAGACCTGATGCCTCAGTAGTGGCAGTGATGTCCCCAATGCATTCCATCATCGTAATAATAAATGCGAAGGAAATTGGGATCAGTGCTGGTGGGTAGAACCCAAGTTTGAAGCGCTTGACCCATAGAAATGTGAACCAATTTGCTGTGACGATCCCCTGAGAAGTCACATATCTGTTGACGTCACAAACCGAAAGAACCAGCCTTACATTAGGTTTATTTTTTTAGCATAACAAAGAGTAAAGCCTCTCTTAAAAAAAAAGAAAAAAGAAAAAAAAATGAAGAGTAAAGCCTCTCTAAAACATGAAATACCTATACCTTTCTCGGCCTTTTGGCTAAGTAAGATCAAGTGTAGTATCTGTTCTGATGAGTTTACTATCTGATCCGCGGTCCATCAGACCACATTCAAAAAAAAAAAGAAAGAAAAAAAAGGTGTCATCTTATATCCACAAAGGAACCAAATCAATGTACGGCAATGGCCTTAAGAGGTATAATCATTGGACTGACCAGCCCCAGGTAATTCGGAATTAATTCAATTACTAATGTTTTATCCGGACTCGAACTCCGGTCTGTATTTCATCACTTCATGGGTGTCAAGTTATCAGCTGGGATGCGCCCGCTGGTAAAATTCGAGGGCTAAGCCCTCACGGGGCCCTCACAGACATGCAAGTAAGCCGGCCTAAGTGAAGACGGGCCTGAATATTCACGTGAGGCCTCTTTTCAACATCTTTCCATATGTGGGGTATCAGACAGTTGCAGCACGCCAGTTGGTTACAAAACAACGTGAGCCTTTCCTGGCTCCTTTCAGAAACAACAGCTGCGCTGCATAGTTGAGCCCAGGGCCACGTTTGGTTGCGCCCTGGGCACACACAGTGGGAGGCCGACACATCACGCTGTGGCCATGGACGAATGAGAAAGCAGCATTGTCGTCACACAACCTCCACGAGCCAATGAGAAGGCGGAAAACACCTGGACAGCTGCCTGGACGTGCCCAACTGATATGGGCCCAGGCCCGTAACAGCCGAGGTGGGCCTTGGCACAGACACTGGGGCCCGACTGGAAGCTACTGGAAACTTCCTTAGCCAGGCCAACGCAGCCAGACACAGGGCCGCACTTTCCATAAAGGAAAGTGCCCTGCCCAGGCAGGGGCATTCTGGCCTAGGCAGGCATAGCGACCACGCTGCTGCAATGCCAGCCAGGGAGCACGCGGGCGCAGAGAGGTGTGAGGGTGCTGCGGTGGCAGTGGGCGCACAGCGGCCATAGCCAGGCCGAGCGTGCGGAAGGCGGGTGATGGCGATGGTGGTCTTCAGGTAGGAGGCGCATGCACAGGGGAGACGGGGTGTGATGAGGGGAGGAGAGAGAGCATACCTGGTGTCTCCTGGCGGTCGGCATTGGCAATGACGTCACGTACATTGGTCTTCAACTTCGATGTGATCCAGTCGCATGAACGCAATAGGATATATAGGCCGAGTAGTGTAGACTGGGCGCTGGGCGCCGGACAGTAGGAGCGACATTGGATACAGTATTGGTGTGACCAGAGAGCGTCGGCATTGGCACTCGAGTGCATTGTACTGCTCTTAGTTGGATGGCATCTTGGTGCATTGTGCTCTCTGCTTGGTACATGACTATCTGGACTACTCCGTGATTTTGCATCTTGGATTTCTGTCTATCGCTCTCGCTCATGTTCCTTGCATAAATTGATTAATATTATAACATCATATTTTATCATTTCCATAAGAATGAAACGGTTTTCACCTTTACGGGAGCCGATGCAGTTCCCAGGGCTCGATCCCTAGACCTCACCCTCACCCACGTACAGTACCAGGTGATCCATGTGAGCTTGAATCCGCGACCTGTGTTCTAAAAGTCGCCTGTTTGCTTGCTGTAGATAGCGTGGTTGTCAGGTCTCGAACAGTAGGTCTGTAGATTAGAAGTCTTCGCAGTGGTAGGAGTCGTAGCTGCTACAGTTCCGAAGAGTCAAGGTCTTAGCTGTATCAGTCCTGAAAAGTCAAGTCTACGGCCTTCCGGAACTTCCGGAACTGACCTTTCGTAGGTCCTAGAGGGTAGTCCGTAGGCAAGTGGTCAAGTGGGCAGTCCTACCTGGTCCAGTCAGCGGTACGTTTGTCAAGTCAGCAAGTACCATGTGGGACTGCATGCACCCCGGGCCCGACGTTCAAGGGCAGACCTTTGACAATCCAAAGTATAAATAAAGAGGCAGCGATCAGTCATGGATGGATTCTGCCTGTGAGCAGTGCGGAAGCGCTGGCGGAGCGTCTTGTGTACGGAGGTCTGCAGGTGCCCGATGAGGAAGTGGGCTAAGAGGAGGAAGACGAGGCCATAGCCGCTTGTGTTAGTGATAGGAGGTAGAAGGCAGCCATGGCTGCCAGTTAGCGTGTTAGTGTGTAAGTGTATGTGTGCACAAGTGAGGTTCTGTGTGTGTGCGGGACATCCAGCGAGATCCAGGGTGTGTGTACGAACAAGTTGCCGGGAGTATGGTGTACGGCCATAGCCGTACGAGACAAGTTTGAATCCGAACTGTGTTCTTGGCTACGTTATCTCTGAGCTTTGTGTGGGCGCAAGTCGCCAGCTTGATCGTCATCTGTTTGTACGCATGCTGAGTGTCGGCGAAGACAAGTCCGATTGCAATACTAGGTACATACTACATTGTAAATGTAATTTTACAAGTATTAGTTACATTTATCCACCGGAGCACTAGCAACAATTACGACACAGATCAACCCTTCCCCACTGACCCCTGAAGTCAGACATCCGGTTGAAGAAATATCAAAACTAGGTTATCCGATGCCTGCAGCTTGTGAGATGTTTTCTCCCAGGTGCTGCTGGTCTTTACTACATGTCGTATTAACTGCCTTTTCTTAGGGTTAGTTCCTCTCTCTCTCTCACGGATACCACAGACACGAACACAAATTCCCTGACGTGACTCCACGTTAGACTACAATTCCCATGCACCTCACTTAAAAGAGAGGGAGAGAGAGAGAGAGAGAGAGAGAGAGAGAGAGAGAGAGAGAGAGAGAGAGAGAGAGAGAGAGAGAGAGAGAGAGAGAGAGAGAGAGAGAGAGAGAGAGAGAGAGAGAGAGAGAGAGAGTGTTACATGCTGCGCGTGCACACGCAGGCCATTTTGCAGGCCTGCGGCCGTTCAGGCTAAAAGCCTGAACTTCAGGCCGAAAGCCTGAATTTCAGGCCGAAAGCCTGAAATCCAGGGCTTACAGGCCCCCTGTCGGTTCAGGCTGAAAGCCTGAATTCCAGGGCCTGTCCCTGTGTCGTTTCAGACTAAAAACGGCAACAGCCTTTTTAGCCTGAAACGAAGGGCCATTTTCGGTCGTTCATCAGAACGACCGGCCCTGAAACTCAGGCCCCGAACCAGGGTTTCGGGAACAGACTATTAATAGTCTGTTTCCCACGCCAGCCCCTGGCACACTTCGGCATTGGCAAGAGCTGCCTCCTCGGCCTGACTGGCCTCCAGTAGTCAGGAGGCAGGCCGAGGTAGTACATAGGACTTCCCAGGCACTTCCGAGGTAGGCAGTCGGCAGTTGTAGTCTTCAGGATTCGGGAGCAGCACTCTGGAGGGAGCGCTGCAGTGTAGTGGTAGTAGCGTTAGCTTGTAGTCTTCAGCGCTGGACGCAGTAGGTAGCTGTAGTCTCCAGCGCTGGGCGCCATAGCTAGGTAGAACTTGTTAGAGAGAGAGAGCTTGGGCGGAGGCCAGAGGTACCTAACTGCAGCGCCCTTGCTCCAGCTTCGTCTTCGAGGTACCTGCAGCGCAGTGCCACAGCACAGGTTAGTATCTGGTTCGTAACAGGGAGAGAGAGAGAGTTCTTCTTCTTCCTTTTCTCAGTCCACCATCTCTTCTCTCCCTCTCAACTTCTGACTTCACTGCATCTGCAGACTATGAGAGGAGGGATACAGAGCTTGGTGACATTTGATCCAGACTCGACTTTTGGGGGTTCAGACATGGCAACGAGGGACTATTGGGGATTGGTGACCAAGACTTGGTGCTAACGACATTCCCATCCTTCTCCCTCCTTTCGTCTGATCCTCATCTCTTCGTCTGTGTATGTCTGGACCTGGCGCTCTCTTCCTGTGTACAGCGCCAGGCTCCTTCACACTCAGTGATGGATATCATGCATGTTTAGTCTGAGTTCAAACATTGATTGGGCTAGTTAGTAGTATTCTAGCATTCTGCTTCGTTACTCTGAACTAAGTGAATGAGGTCAGTCCTGTCAGGTCAGTCTTTGTACCAAAGTCTTCCCTGTGCTATTCAGCACCTTTTTGTATGCATGAGAATGCACATTGTCTGTCGAGATTCTACTCGCACTGTAATGTCCATTCAGCCCTTTTCATCACACTGCAGTTCCTCGGTTATTACGTACATTGCATACCTGTGCATGTAACACACACACACACACACACACACACACACAGACACAGAGAGAGAGAGAGAGAGAGAGAGAGAGAGAGAGAGAGAGAGAGAGAGAGAGAGAGAGAGAGAGAGAGACTGATTTACCTTCGTGACTCACAGCTGATATTGCACTGGGGCTCTCCACAGGTATTTTGACAGATCAGGCTTGGGAATGTTGTTGAATTTCTTGGAAGGCCTTCAAGTCCTTGAGTAGCAGAATTGTAAACAACACCAGGAGGGAGGACACTATAGCAGTCACGGCGACACTTGGGTGCGCATTCCTCCACACATCGGTACACATGGACGCTGGAGGCCACGATCATCCCAATCAACAACCCGAGGAACACCTGTCTCAGGGAAAAGGACAAGAAAGTATCAAAGAATATACACAGAGAGACACTGGAGAAGGAGATCAATAGAACCCAAGGGAGATGGGAAAATTTGACAAAAATCCACGGGGATAGACCAGAAAGAACATGATATCGAAAGGTGAAACAAAACATACGAGAAAGGATAGGGGGGGAGGAGCAGGGGCAGACTCCAAAATCCACAGCATAAACATCGATTCACCACAGGGGCCACAAGGAGGCAAATGAATAGTTAGCTAAAAGGTTAGGCATCTGTACTATCCAATGACTCGATTAATAACCTGCCCGGTAGAACATAAACTTCCATGAAAGAAAAAAAGAAAAGGGGTGATAGGCAGGAGGACCTAGGACATCAAGAGGGCCTCACGCCATGGCTTGCTATCAGTTCAGACAATGAGAGCGGAGAGAAGCCAGGCAGCAGGCCAAAGGGGCATGGACTGCACTCCCCACGAATAAAGGGGAGGCAGCTAGATGGATTGGACATTGGTGGACGGGATGCACCAAAAAAAAAAGGTCTGATATTCCCACGAGTTTGACTGAGAGAGGACAAGTAAGAGCATACTCACACAAAGCTCTCAAACTCGCAACATCACAAAATGAGCGGCCAATCGAGTCCTTGTAAAGGAAAGACTAGATCTGGCCGCTCATTTTGAGATTTTGCGATTTTGAGGGCCTCGTGTGAGTGTTCCCTAAGCCAAAGGGTAGGCAGCCAGATGGATATGGACATTGGTGGGAGGTGGCGACATGGATGAATGGTGGGCGCCGGGCGGGGTGCACAAACCGCAACGGTGGAAGTACATCAATGGAACCTTTTTTTTTTGTTTTTTTAATTGAATTTTTGTACATGGATGGACATTGGACAAGCCAATCACGTGCTTCTTCAAGCAGCAGCTGCAGTGACTGAGCAGGCCTCAAACCGCGACAGACAGGTGGAAGTATATCAAGGGAACCTTTTCTTTTTTCAAAAAAAAATGAATATCTGCACATGGATGGACATTGGACAAGCCAATGATGATGTGCTTCTTCAAGCAGCAGCTGCACTCCAGTATTTCTGTTCCCCTTTATTTATTTGTTTTTCAAGCACCAGTACACCACACATTGGCCCGCCGGCGTCAGCATGAAACCCGCACCACTTCGGAGGCCGTCAATTTTTTTTTTGAATGGCGCGCCTGGCCGCACAGCCCCTCCGAGTTTTGCTTGTGGCGACACATACTTTCTGCAAGGCTGGGGCCGTGTATTTGCTGTTCAACATAAATCAGGACCTCATGTGTCAAGCTCCAATCTATGCTAGGCAGCCGGTTTGGCCCTGCCCCCATTAGTGCAGTCCACTGGAAAGCCATAAGATGATAACCATATATCCACTCTGGTTCTGCCCCCATTAGGGCTGAGGGAACCACAACCAGCATTGATTCCTCTCCTTGAGGGGAGAGTTGATGACTGAGAGTGACGCCCATACCGTCCCAGAAATCAAAGGGAAAGGCCCCTGAAAGTTCCGAAACATAGGCTTCTCTCTGCTCCTCTCAGCATTCATCTGAAACCACCCGTACTTCTGAGGCCATTTTCTCCAGGGCTGGAAACGCACTGCGCCACCCCCCCAAAAAAACGAACCGGTGTGGACCTCCTTTTGGCTGACGCCACCAGCCATTTTGGTCCGGCAGCCGAGCCCCGAAAGTAGCACCTGTATACAAGCCGCATGTTTGATTTCGTTTCGGGGCAACATACTGGTGGTTTAAGAAAGCTGTCTGAAAATATCTGAGGCATTAGAGCTACCGGGAAGCTGGGATTTTCCCTTTTCTCTCCGGGGGGAAGGGGGGGGGGTGACGGGGGGGAGGGGGGTGGTCCAAACTTGGCTCGTTTCTATTGGTCAGGAGGTGCACCTGCATGAAACCGGGTCCAGTGAGGCCCAATGTCAACATCATGTACAGTTTAACCCTTACACTCGTTTCCCACATTATCTCCCGGGAAGCCCAGACAGCATTGATTGCTTCCTTCCTTTTGGAAGGATTGACTGTCAGTCATCATGCCGAAACCACCCAGTCATGCCCCACCCCCTATCCTAGGAAACCCTTTCAAGAAACTCACTGCAAGCCTATCAAATGAGCCTTCTCGAATAGGGTGATGCGTCTGCGACTGGGTACCGTAAAGGTCTCCCGGTGCGGCATACTCTCGGCCGTTAACCCTGAGATGAGGCGAGTTGGTACCTGCGCTCTCGAGCTGAAACGCCAACTGCCCTACCCTACCCTGAACTGTACAACTTGAAAAAGCAAAAAAAAAAAGAAAACTCGATGTGCAAGGAACATAGTGCAACCATTCCTGAGAGGAACAAGACCTAATGAGGAGGTTTCAAGTCTACAGTTTTCTCAATTTTGGAAGCCTCAGTCCTCGTATTTACTGTGGAGGTTTCAAGTCTACAGTTCTCATATTCAATGTGAATGTGAATCTCGCAGTCGAAGTACTGAGAGGAACAGGTTAGATGAGGCCTCCTTCAAGGAAAGAGATAGATGAACCACCAAAGCAACACAGGGTGAAAACAGACACAAGTCTGTTGCAAGAAATGTAGACAAAGAAACAGACCAGAGACAGACGGAAAGAGAGATCCCCCGAGCAATAGCGCGTAAGATAGGAGTGAAAGACAGTACAGGAAATTGACGCGAATGCGTCGTAAGCAACAAGCACGCTGGCAAAAATACCTTCAAGCAAGCCTATAGAGTCTTCATTACCGGGTTTGTTTCCATGTATTAGAGTCAAAATATCTTCAAGCAGGCCTATAGAGTCTTCAAGAAATCCCCCAACATGTGTGTGTGTGTGTGTGTGTGTGTGTGTGTGTGTGTGTGTGTGTGTGTG